TCATTGTCTTTTTATGGACAAAAAATGGGGAGGGCTTCCCAGAAAGGCGGAGGGTTTTTTAGCAGTCAGGCTACATGCGTGCCATCAGACAAACAGGAGTACAGGTACATTGAAAGAGAGTCATACCTGATTACGATTCTATGGAAAACAGTTAATAGATTCGACGCAAGACATGTTTTTGTAGGCATATTTTTTACACGTGCTTTTAACTTATAATACCATTCACAGCCGATGGTGTACGTTATACTGATTCATTATGAGCAAGTACCTTCAAATCCGGTTCAGGCAAAAATACAAGTAGGACTTGCCCAGCATTTATTTACTTTTTTATTCCCCTGACTGACCGACTTCCATCGTCCCTCTTTTTGACAGTGAAGTAGGCCAAAGTTCCACTCGGTACATTAACCCTTCCTGGGCATAAACAAAAGTTCGCCAAATTAACCTATCGGGTTGGTCACTGAATTTCTAAATTATTTGCCTTTTTTTTTTTTTTTTTTTTTGCTTGAGTTACGCGCTTTCCACCGGAATATATGGTGTAGCGTCCAGACGCTTCGAGGTCGCATGCAGGAAACCTAGGTTCGATTTCCGAGATGTAAAAAAAGAGAGGGGGGGGATTTTTATCGAGTATCTCGGTCTTTATTTAGACTGTATTCCTGTTTGTCTGATGGTACGCATGTAGCCTGGCCGATAAATGAATGGTCTAAACTGTGTAGAATAATATGTACCTGATATTTGTGTGTCGACTACCATCGATTTATACCATATGCATGTAGCTTACGGTCGACAACGGATGAGTATGTCGTCGGGGGAGTAAAAAATAGATCAACTCACCCCAGGTTCAACTTAATCGTTGGGAATTGTAAAAGAAGAAGAGGTGCTGGGACCCGAGAAAAGATTAACTTAATTAACCGAAGATCAGCTCAAGCGAGTTGAGCACAATAATATTAAACTTTTTCTCTCTGTTCGGTTTGAGGAGGGCGGGGCAAAAATAAACTCCTTTGACACGCAAGTGAAAGAACAAGAGAAAGTATAACGCGAAAGTTGGGAGGGAGGGGAGGGGGGGGGCGGTGTTTGAGAAAAACGAAGAAAATAATTTCGGGAGGAAGAGAAAGCAGCCATTACAATAACTTGCTGTCCTCTCTTCTCGTCTTAATTGGCCTGAAATGCAACCAAACAAAAAACCACCGAAGGCTCTAAGAACATCCTCTGCCTCACACAAGCTAAGTGTTTTCAATATATCATCATAAATGTCATCTTGGGGTTGAGAATGCCGAAGGTCAGAAGGGGCCAATGAATACAAAATGTAAACATTCCCTAGATTTTTAGTATACAACCGTGACAGCAGTACTTCATCTGAAAGTGCTTCTCTGGTATGCAGTGCTTCTAGATTGTGAACGAACTCTAGAATATCAGACGCACTCTCAAAGTGAGTGTCCCCAACACATCGATTATATGGCCCCAAAGTTCTCTTGTCTTAGCGGGTAGCTGACAAGCAGGTTATCTAGTGTAGTTTGCTTCTTCTTTCCTATCAAGCATAAGTAACATGTCAATGTATAATATGTGAGGCAGCGTGGTGGAATCAGGCTCTCGTCAATTTTTGGGCACGTAGAGTTATTGGTATCACCTTAAAGCTTGTTCACTTGTCTTTATTTGGATGAAAAAATTATCAATTTATCCTGAATACAAGTCGAGATATTTGTGAATGAAGGAGGTGGTGTTCACCTGTTTTCAGAGGTAAAATTAGTGAGAAAACGGTCACCAAAGATTTATCATTTCCTTAGCTTAAGACTCCGTGGTAACTGAAAAATTATATTTTTTGTGCCTTTTATCAACGTTTTTCAGAAAAATCCACACAAAAATGAGTTCTTTAATGGGCATGAAAGGTGTTGAGCCAAAAAACAAAAATTTGATAAAAATTCAGAAACCAGCGGGAAAATGCAACTTTCTTCACTTTGATTATTTTGACGAGAGCCTGATTCCACCACGTTGCCTCACATATTATATCGGCCTTATCTCACCTCCATCTTTTCTTTGTACATAATAATATGTTTCTCTTTAAAACGCCTCTAATCTTCTGCACTTATATGATCTTTTTGTGTTGCAAGTGCCATAAAACTCTGACTGACACGAAAACAAAAACACATGTTACGTAAACTTCAGCCTCCATTGTGGGGAGTGGGGATCATGCGGAAAGTGACTTCCGCAATCCACGCAACTAAGCAGTGAGGTTTCACTACCTCATTATACATACCGCTGTCAAGCTACCAGTTGGGCAACATTTAATCTTAACTTTGCTGTCATAAAAAAAAACTAATGTTTGCCAAAAATAGCAAGAAAACCCTAATGGGTGTGTCCGTCTTCTCTGAGATTCTTGGTTCAGAAAAGATCATTTTAAAAGACCACTTGAAGGCTTCAATAATGGCTAAGAAGATTTTAATGATTTAGAAGAGATGATGTCCTTGGGTTTTCTTTTTCTGACGAA